ACGGAGTAAGAAGTAAGAGTAAGAAATTGACCAATCACAGTCGAATGTGAGAAGAATAATCGACTGTGATTGGTCAATTTCTTACTCTTACTTCTCACTCCGTGTATTGTAGACGGGCCTTTATGCAAGAGCTGTGCGGTCTGTGCTGCCCGCTTAACAACATTGAGCCCTAGTTGAGCTTGGTTATTACATACTATAATTTTTTACACCACTTTCAAAGAAATTCTACAGCAGGTAAATATTATATGTACACTTGTTTTATCGTTCGATCTTTTATGAATTTTCCGATATGTCATCACGTTTGCCAGGTCTCCAGATTTTGACTGGAAACTCCAGTTTTCGGGACCAATCTCCAGTTTTCCAGGAGACGGGAAAAATCTCCAGTTTTTCGATCGCGTGGAATATTTATTAATTACATATTTAAATTACGTGGAAAGTAATAAGAAAGTCTATATTTATGTTCGGAGTTTATGTTATTTTACGAATAATAAAAAAGTTTGTAATTTTGTTCGTACTGTATGTAATCTTGTAATAATAATAAAAAGGTCTCTGTGATTGTGTTAACACTTTATGTTGGTCAAATATTAATAACAAAAAGAAAGTCTGCAACAGTAGTCGCAAAACACGAATTAACCCTGCGCCTTTTTTTTCTTTTTTTTTCAATGAAACAATCGGCCAGCCTCCAGTCGAAATATGAAATCTCCAGCGCACGGACTTTCGGGCTCCAGCTGTACATTGCTCGGGATCTGGCAACCGTGTATATCATACATATGTAGCGATAGCAAAGTCAATTTTACGATAACAGTACGCGGTTAAATGTTAATGTAAATGAATTTTAAAGTTTACTTAAGTATAAATTATTAGAAATATCTTATTTAATGTAAGTATAAGATTGAGGATGCATGGAATGTAACGCAAATAAAGGAAACAATGTTAGCATGGATGTGATTGAAAAAATTGCAATGGAAGTACAACTTGAAAAATCGACTGCTGATGACAGCCTGTCTGTTAGTGGGAATAGTAATGTAGCATCAGTGATAATAGAAGAATTGGATGAAAATGCTATCAATTCATTGGATATGGATATAAATGAATTTGTCGAAGCAAAAGCATTACAGATAAGAGATGTAACAGATGTTATTCCAAATTCTACATTCTCTCCATCATGTAATTTGAACAAGGATAACATGGACATGGAAGATCAGGATATGTCGTTAACTATCGACGAGGAAGATCAGCTAACAAAGCAGTTTTTAAATGGCGAGTTAACATTCAGTGAATATTCGTCCAGAATGGATCAGGATACAGATTTAGAGATGATAGAAAATGATACCTCCAGGTATAGATTATATATATATATATATATATATATATATATATATTACATTTTAATTATTTTGACAATTATGAAATTTACATTTGTGATACTATTTTTAGAACAACAATTGGATTTGATCATGTTACTGTACAAAAAGTTGTGGAACAAAAACTGCATAAAACAATAAACATGCGTCAAAAAAAAAAAAGGCGTGTTTTACCACCAGTTTTGCAAGGACTTATGGGAGAGGCGAATTTGAGATTTGCAAAGGGAGAAGTAGATTTAGCAGCTAAAATATGCATGGAGATCATTAGGCAAGTTGTCTTAATGTATCACATTGACGTATGTTTGGTTAAAATTTTTATGTAACAAGTAAAAATCTCTTTAACACTTGCTAATTATTTCTTAGACAAGTACCAAGCGCTCCAGAACCATTTCAGACGTTAGCTATGATATATGAAAATGATCAACCAGAAAAGTCATTACAATTTGCTTTAATTGCTGCGCATCTTAGTCCTAAAGATGCTGATCAGTGGGTAAGATTGGCTAACTTGTCATTGGAAAGTGGCGATATAAAGCAAGCGATAACGTGTTACTCTAAAGCGATTCAAGCCAGTCCAAAGGATATAAGTTTATATGAGACACGAGCACAGCTTCAAGAACAAAATGGCGATAAAAAAGCATACTTGCGGGGATATACAAAGCTGATTCATCAATTGGAAGCCGAGGATGGTGAATATATAATGAAATACGCAAAGATGTTAGCCAAACGTTATATGCAAGAAGATAACAATGAACAAGCATTAGAAGCAGTGGAGACTATCTTTGCCAAATGTCCTGATCTCATTACATTAGAAGAAGTTAATATCATGACTGAATTATTAATAGCGCTAAAGCAATTTCAGAGATGTTTAGATATATTAGTAAAGTATACAAATATTCAGATACGATATAAGAAGAATGAGAAGAAAGAAGAAAGAACAGCGGCCAACGATGCAAAGGCCGACAAGGAAGAAGAGTGTAGTAATGCAAAAGGAAAAACTGTGTTTCCGACATCGAGAAGCCAAAATAGTGATGAAATAGAGTCTTGCGATGTACCAGATAACGTGGTTGTTGACTTAAAGGCAAAATTTCTCATAATTCTCATTGAATTGGATTATATTCCGATTGCTGAAAAATTGTTACCAAACTTTTATATGCGCGAAAATCCAGAGATTTCTGGAGATCTCTTTTTAGATGTAGCGGAAGCACTGATGGGCAAGAAAGAATTTCATCGCGCCATGATTTTGTTGGATCCGTTAGTCAAAAGCTCAAATTTTAGTTTGGCTGCAGTTTGGCTGAGACATGCCGAATGTTGGATTGGTTGTAATGATGTGGATAAAGCTATAGAATCTTACGAAGCTGTTCGAAAGTTGTCACCACAGCATTTAGGCGCGAGATTAGCTCTAGCTAAACTTTATAAAAAGTCGGAACGTTACGATAAGGCGATACAAGTTCTCTACCAAGATCCCGAATCCGATACATTAGATTCTAACGTTCTGTATCAAAGAACACTACTACTTTTTAAAGTTGGAAGATACGAGGAATACTTTTCCTCGGGAATGTTACTTTTCTCACGACATTGTGTTAATATAAGAAGAAAGGTTGAATTAAACGCATTGGCACGCGCAACGGGTGTTCGGCAACGGCTTGATAGCCTACAACTTCGTCGTTTATCATGCGGAGAAAAGTTGGAAGATGAAAACGCGCCAACGTTCACCACTAATGCAAAACCGAGCGAAAAAAATGAATTTCTACTTTTCCTACAAATGTGTAAACTAGCGTATAAATTAAACAAGTATGGTTTCCTTCAAAGATTATGTTTCACTGCTCTGACATCAAAGAGATTTAAAAACAGAGACTCTTATATTATCTTTTTGTGTTTGGTTTCTTGTATTCATAATAAGGATTCATTCTATGGTTACAATATTGTCCGAGAATTCGTACGTGTCTGTCAAAGGTCCAACTCGTGGAACTTGTTAAATATAATTATTCAAAGAGCAGAAGATTTGAGACACAACAGATTTATAATGCGATTACTTGGAAGAGACGTATTTTCATATTTGCATATTATGCATGCAAACAACTGTCTTGTTTCGGGAACTTACAAATATGCTTTAAACGGTTATATGTCTCTCTTTAAAGTAGCACCTAGTGCATTGTTAGCATTGTTAATAGGCGTAACGCAATTACATATGGCATGTCAAAAGATGTCAGCTAAGAAGAATCAGCTAGTAATTCAAGGTATGTATTCTATATATGTATATATATATTTTTTTTTTGTTCAATAAGATAGGAATTGAAATAGGAATTTAAATCTCGCGCGCGCACGTGTCATGATTCAGTTTACATTTAAGATCTGTTTTCTGTGGCTGAACTAGTGTACACTTTTGAAACTTAAAGTGAGATAGATGTACGTTTGACATTTGTTTAAAGCGAGAAAGAGAGTTTTAGAACAGTCTAGTGCAGGAACAGAAAATAGACCATTAGAGAGCATTTAAAGCACAGTCTTCTTTTTTTTTAATTTAAATAATGATGTAATACATGTAACAATATGTATACATTATTATATTACATAATGTATACTACAACTACGTATACATTTTTTTTAATCTTTAATCTTTGTTCGTAGCGCTAGCCTTCTTCAAAAAATACATGCAATTACGTGGTGAAGAAGGTCAACAAGAAACTTACTATAATATGGCACGGGCATTTCATCAAATCGGTTTATTACCATCTGCGATTCACTTCTATAAGTTGGTCCTGAAGGAAAATCCAGATTTAGTTAAACAGCATACGAATCTTTTGGATCTAAGAAAGGAAGCAGCGTTCAATTTGCATCTCATCTATCTACAATCCGACAATCATCTTCTTGCTAGAATGTATCTTGAAAATTATATCACAGTATAAATTGAAACTGTGATATTTTATAGAATTTCTGCTTTTGTGTGCGTGCGTGGTTAACGAACGTATGAGCGTATGTATATAATATTATAAGTTTCATTAAAGAACAAAACTCTTTGTAACAAAACATGTATTTAAAATTATTTTACTCTTTTATTGTACAATCTTTTCTTTCAAACAAGTGCTGCAATCGAACTCCCGTTTCTAAAACAGTCTCACTTTTTTTAAACATTTTTGCTATCGCTACATGGGTTATATAATAAATGATAACAAAATATATAATTTTTTCAAGATGAAATAAATCATTCAATCTCTTAAAGTATTCCATATTAAAATAGCATCAATTTAAATTTTCTTTAGAGTAATGGCTATTGCTTTAGAGGCTAAAATTGAGTTTAAACAATTATGCGATACATTGGAAGACGTTGCCAAGACACATGATGTAAAAAAGAAAGAACAAATTTTGCAAACGTTTATCGATACGTGTCGAAACGTTGGCGATAAACTGAAAATAGAATATTCTGAATCGGTATGTACATATACTTTAAAGTAGAGCGGGGCTTTTTCGTCCATTTCTCACTATAGTGTTTATATTTCTGGACAGCATATACTGAACATTTAAAGGTATCTTACTTGTGCCCTCAAGAAGCAATCATGATTGTATAAAATAGTTATATAAGCACTTACCACAAAAAGATATTGTTTGCCGTAAATTTCATATCACTTTAAGGAGTGAAATTAACGGAATAGCTTCGCTCTATCCTATACATTATGTATGTGTTGGATATAAGTATTGCGTCTATAGTTTGATGTAGATGTAAAAATGATACCTTATTAACGTTAGCATTATATAAGCATTAACAAAGAGATTATCGTGAGATATTTTCTCCTTTTTTATTACTACAATTCTAAACAAAAAATTGCAACATTCTTTAAAAAGCAGCTTGGATAAAAGTATCCTGCAAATTTGTTCCGTAAAATAACATATTTTATCAATAAAGAAAAATAATGCCAATGAGAGCCAATGTGTAAAGTGATATAACATATTTTATGATAGTACGGCGTTGTTATTATATCCTGACTCTAATTATGATTCAATTCAATTTTGTCTTAGGATGTGTCGTTCTATCCTATCTTAAGATTGATACTACCCTATCTTGAACGACAGCGTGGACCGCATAATTTGAAGCAAGTTTCGTTGGCAAATCTTTACGCTCACGTATACGGTTTCGCAAAAAATAGTGACAGTTATAAAAAGTTGGCAAATTATCGGTCAGTAAAATATAATCTTCCAATTGTAACCGTTATATGCTATAATCGATACAGTACACTTTTCTGGATATACATATGTATACATATCTGACCTTATATGAAAATATACATATATACATAAGAATTTTACATCAACAAATGTACATACAATACAGCTAATACGTACGTTTCCTTGAAGAAATTTTCTCAAAAGTGCAACATTCTTGTTTTAGAGATTTACCCTCGTCGGGAAAATTTGTAGGAAATGATTTCGCTGATCGAGCTTACTGCGTATTGAATAAAAAATTACCTCGAACCAGTACTGGATTCACGATCGCGCGGATTAACGAGTTCCTTGATAGTATTTCCGGGAGAAACATGAATGTAACGAGGCAGCAAAAAGTTGAAACGTTTCGAGTACTTTTTCGACAAATTACAGGATTTGAGATGAAGTGGATGACGCGTATCATTCTTAAAGATTTACGACTTGGTATAGGAACACAAAGAATACTGCACAGTTCGTATAACTTAATTGCCTAATAACAATGTTTTGTATATGTATAATAAATGTGTCTCACGACGCATTGGAAGACTAATCGCAATCCATTTCTTTCAAGTCTATCATCCCGACGCGAATGATAAATTTCTTGTGACGAATGATCTGCGCGAGATTTGTAACCAGTTGCGTAATCCTAAGATCAAATTAAAAGAATGCGGCATACAAATATTTTCACATTTTAAGCCAATGCTCTTAGAGAGATGCAATATCGAAAATATCGTCAAGTTATTTTGGGACAATGACTTGTACTATGTTCAAACTAAATACGACGGCGAGAGGTCGCAACTCCATATGAAGAATGGAAAATTTAAATACTTTACACGTAGAGGATACGACATTACAAACAAGTATGGATATGGTGAAACTGAATCTTCGGGTATGACAACGAATACTCCAAGTTGAATAAAATGAAGAAACAGTAAACAGAAGAGGAGCATATAGACATACGCAAGATGTTAGTACTGAATGTCATGTATTTAAAATTATTACGTTAACAACATAATTATATTGTTAACATAATACTTTTAAATACACGACATTCGCTACGAACATCTTGCGTGTGGCGGTTGTATGCTCCTACTTTTATTTACTGTTTGTCGGTTTATATTTATTAAGCTACTTAAAAAGAATTTGTTATTGTAAAATGAATAAACTCACTCATAATTTGCTCGAATCGTTATTAATGTAGGTACATCGTAGTCGATATTAAAAATCGGTTGTATAATATCCATTGCCTGTACGTGCACTATTTATTTCATTTCAAAAACTGTGTAGTATAATTAAATTTTAATATTTCCGATAGGTTTTTTAACCGCGGTATTTACGCGGTGTTTGAATCCGAATTGTTATTCTTTTATATTGGATGGAGAATTAATGGCTTGGCATAAAGAGAAAAGAATATTTAGTACAAAAGGTATGAATGTCGACGTCAAAAATTTATCGGCGAGCAGTCGACATCAGCCATATTTCGTTGCGTTTGATGTGATTCTGCATAATGACATCTTGCTCGTTGATACACCTTATAAAGACAGATTAAAACTTCTCAACGATATATTCACTGAAGAGGACGGTTCTCTAACTGTATGTCAATCTACTTTAATTTCAAACAGGTAGAATATTACGAACAAAATGTCACAATAAGATAAATCGCCAATGTTATCAGATTATTGTTTGGAAATTGAATATCTACCAGATGTAGAATTATTTTCTCGTATGAAATTATTTTTTTTAAGTAATAATTATTGCGTACAAAACCATAAGTGATTAATTATTGCGACTTTTGTCACAAGGGAAGAATTGATAAAGAAATTCAATACATGCCTCCGTAATAACGAGGAAGGACTTGTTATAAAGAAATGTGATATGAAATATAAACTAAATATTCGAGATGGCAACGGTTGTTATAAGATTAAAGCAGAGGTAAAGTTTTCTTTAATATTATTTTACATCGTTATTTTAAGTTAAGTTTTTGTTAAAAATTCAATTTATCGCAGAGAGAGAGAGAGAGAGAGAGAGAGAGAGAGAGAATGTGCGTGTTTAAAAAGTAAAACGTTGAACACATTTATGATACATCGGTCGGTCTCAAAGTTATTTATATTTGGGACCGTCTTAAGTATAGTCTTAAGATGTCATGAATCAACCAGAGGATAGTATTCATAATTCGATCTTATTTTAAGACCGTCTTAAATAATAATGTCTTCAGATGCTAATATGGCTCTCTGACTGACAGGGTTCATAACATATCTTAAAACTGCAGTACTTAACTTAAATATAAGATTCGACTGTGAACACCTTCCACAGAGGTGTATTAACATCGTAAGATATTAGGTATATACTTGGGTATTAAATAATGGTCTTAAAATTAGAACGGATTACGAATACCTGCTGTTTTTGATTTTCAACAAAAAAATATACACCGAACGATCTTTATCTTTAGTCAATACGTGATAATAATGTGCACAAAATTCAAAAGCAACAAAATTAAAATACGTATATTTTTATAGTATTCTGACAATTTAGTACAAGATATAGACCTCATCATACTTGGCGGTTATTACGGAGAGGGTAAATATACAGGAATAATTAAAAGTTTTATGATGGGTGTTGCCGCACCATCGAATAAAGAAGGAGAAAATCCGTCCCAATTTTTCTCCATCGTATCTGTAAACACTGGAATAGGAGATGAAACGTTACGTCATCTTCAAACAAAACTTGCGCCATATTGGATCAAGGAATGTCCTGAAAATATTGTAGGTCCCAAGGTAAACTAAAATTAATTATTATGTATTATTTTAAATGTATATTAGCGAAATATATTTAACTTTTTCTCGACTTTTTTTATTATTTATCATAATACATATATTTCTCTCTCGTCAATAACAAATTTATATGTTTACTCTCGTCAAGAGTATTATATATAATACTCTTTACGCACTATATAATAATGTTTTATATGCATTTCATGTACATTTGTAGATAGATGTATTATATTCTTTATAGAGAAATCAACCAGATATGTGGATTCATCCAGAACATTCTATAATTTTAACGATACGAGCGACTGAGATGATACGTAGTAATAAATATCCAATTGGATACAGTCTACGATTTCCTAGAGTTACGAATGTAAGGATGGATAAGACCTGGTACAGTCCATGTACTACTCTCGAACTTCTATCGTTGGCCAAAGTATGTGAATGCCACTAACGAATGATAAATTATTACATTACGAAAGTAGAGTTGCCCTTGCGACTCACAATTTATAATAATCCAATAATCATAGGATGAGGGAATGATTCAAAAGTTAACCAAGCGAGAAGCTACTCTGCATGATATCGACCGAGTACCAGTCTCTAAATTACAAAAGATAACGAGTCGTAGTAAATCAATTGAACATAACGTGTGTGATAAGCGCGTAGTACCATTCACGCGACTATTGGATGGGAAAGAAATTTGCGTGATTAATGGTACCGATGAATTATCGAAAGAGCAAATTGAAGAAATATTGCAGCAACATAGCGCAAGAGTTGTTCAGAATCCAATTAATACGACTTTTTGCGTGATAGTAGGCAATAATAGAACGGTAAGAAATATTTTCTGCACTGCGCGCTATCGCAACTCAAGCTTAAATCTGATAATCATCGAACTCAAGGACAAATTACAAAGTGCAAACTACTTTTTCAGATACGAGGGAAAGAAGTAGTAAACAGTGGAAAATACGATGTTGTAACTTTGGATTGGGTTAAACGTATCACAAACATTAATCGGTCCGACTGGACCTCATTAATTGATTTTTTACCATGGGAACTATTACGCAGCCGAAACATTACTAGACGCCAAGTTACGGAAAATTATGACGAATATTATGATAGTTTTGTTGTTGATGCAGATGAGGGGAGTTTAAAGCGTTCATTCGATAAGATTGCGAAGCCGATTATTTTTGAGGTATTTGAATCAAAATTTATTACTAAATACGTGTGTATAATTATCGCAATAATCTTACCGCAATAATTTCACAAATTATCTAGATTATGGGCAATCCGTTTACCAGTGAACAAGAAAAAAAAATGGACAAAGAATTGTTCGGGAGTACATCGCCTTATTCGTTATTTAGAGATATAATTGGATTCTTTGAAAATCAATTGTGTAATGCTAAATTTAAATTCCGTTTCATGTCAGGTACAATTAAAGACAATTTTAATAGTTCCGTTACGCATGTCTTTGTAGAAGATAACGAGACGAGCGCTATTGTGAGAGACATGAAAGCTTATAAGCAAATATCTACAAAAATCGTTAAATGTAAATGGATCGAGGAATGTTTTCGAAATGGCCGAATATGTGAAATTACTGATTATCTAATCACCCAATAAACGAGAATAAATTGAAATGGATAAAAATAAATTCATTTCGACATTTTCGAATTCGCGCTTCTGATTTTTCGAATTCATTTGAATTCATAAATACATCTGACAAAAAAATCAACATGAAAAATAAATCAACATGATGACATAATAATCACAGTTTAAAATGATGAAAATACGCACTTTTGTTTAAAGTTTAAATAAAAAAAGTTATGATGGAAATATGTAAGCCCTGAATTTATATCCGGCGAGTACAGTATTGAATAGGAACATTCTCCCCTGTTAGAATCAATGATATTAAAAATAAAATATAAAAATACTGTTCTATTTTTAAAGAAAGAACTATAAATGTTCATGAACAAAAACGAATTTATGCCTTCGGATATCAATTCATTTCAATTAATTTCAATCCAGCTCCAGGTTCTAAAGCGCGAATTTGGATAAATTAAAATAAATTGCAATTTTTAATTCATTTCAATCTATTCTCATTTACTAGGTAATTATTAAAAATATACGTATGTTGCGTTAAGACGTGTAAGAACAAATATATATTAAAAGTTTCATAACATGAGAAATGTTACATGTGTATTTTCGACGGAAGAACTTACGGTATATATTTACGAGATCATTTTAACTCACATTTTCGTGGAGCACTGAGAAACTAGGTACTAGGCGGAGTGACAGTCGGACAGTTCGCTCATTTAACATCTTCTCATTTCGAAATATTTCTTCTCAACTCTCGGGCCACTACCCCAAGCCCATCTCGTTTTATTTCATCGGAATGCGCGCAAAATACGAAAGAGACGCAGCTGCGATGTCTTTACCTCTTACAAAGCTTGCCATTCAGAGAGATCTCACATATAGATTACCATCATGGAGATTGCGGAAAAACTCGAGGTGCATACGTCGAAAAATTTTAAACGAAAGATTACATTTCCATTATTGATATTTCATGTAATTTTCAACCGCTTTACTGTTTTCAGCTTCCTGATTTTTATTCCAAGAATAATTAATCATTTCTGAATAAAAGATAACTTTTAATTCGAGTAAAAGAAAAATATAGGACAAAAAGAGAAGGATGTTTTGTATATTATGCTGATGTAAAATGAATGATGTCAAACCAATAATCTCATCGTAATAAAGATAACCAATATGAGAAAAAGAAAGGGAAAAAAGGGATAGGAAGAGGGAGGAAAATAAATATTTTATATTTCGTCGTCTGACGAATTAACAAACATTAACAACATCCTAATTCGCGCGCGGTTGAAAATATATTAAATATATCATTACGCGCACGCACGCACGCACGCACACACTGCATGATCAAGCGGCCATCTCATTAGCAACGAGGTGTCTCGTGTCTATGAGGTCAGTATAAATAATATACGAATATGACTGACGTCCTGCCCGCGCAGGATCTACTTATAGACTCTTCACCTACAGATGAGACGCGTATTAATCGAGTTTCGGATTTTCGGAGCGTGCGACCAGGCGTGTTACTCTCCTACAATATTTCGAACTTATTCATAGAATTTCTCATAGCTAACTCGCTAGCCAATTATACATAGATAGAGATGCTCGTAAGAGGTATTGTTGCATGCCGTCGTCTACTGTGCATAATAGCACAATTACGTAATATGACAATGAGCATAATAGTTTGATGCGGACCAAACAACCTAAACACCACAAATTGTCGACACATATAACTTGATAAATTACTAATTGAAATATATGCAGCGAAATTCCTTTAATCGACTATAATAATAATTTTTATTCGAAAGGGACAAGACAGACCTGACATTGTCAATAAAAAATATAATTCTTTTATGTAATTTTAATGAGTCTGCAATTGATATGTTTTTTCGATTCTTTTTACTTTATATCTTTATTATTTGCTACGTTGGTGACGATTGAGTGAATTGTGAGGAAATAATTCCAAATAGTAAGAAAAAAACTCCACTCTAAATAAGAGATCTTATCTTTAAAAAATAGTACATCTTGAGCAATAAATTGTCGCATTATCGTTCCTCTTTCTTAACAAGAATTTCTTCTGGTGCAACAGCGACTTTTCGGACAAGACTTCTTATGCTTGATAAAATCATTTGAAATCGTCGATATCATATCGTCGTTCCACGTTCTAGAGATTTATAAAATTTACTCTATTCACGTAAATTAATTTGTACATAATTACGTAAATTAATTAAGTAATTAATTATTACTTTACATGTTATACATGTACACTTATCGTGATTATCGTATTAAGAATATTTTATCTTAATATTGTAAACGTTAATATCTGCAAATCAAAATGCGAATTAATTAAAAAAAACTTACAATTGCATTGCCTTGTTGCATCCACATAAATAACGTTTATCTTGCATCCTATATTGAGTGAAAAGATAAAAATAACAGCATTATTTTTTTTATGATGATACTATTTGATCTTATGTGTTTCTTTTTTCGCATGTATTAAAAAATTTGCAAAATTTTTAAAAGAAAAAAATTTTTTTAAAGTATTACGGAAGAGGAAACCTTTAAAAAAAAGCAGAGATATGTGCGTGTGTTTAAAATAGATATACTTATTCGAATGATATATTTAATAGGATTTTTACTCCTCTAATTATCCATGTTTTATCTTTAGTTAAATTATAGACATATAAGAAGTATAAAAACGCTTTTTTAAATCAAGCAAATGTCTCTAGCTAAGATATCGTATCCACTTACCCCTTTATGCATTTGCATCTACTTGGCCGTCTAATGTATTGAAAATTAGTACTGTTTACGTTATGTCAATTTTGATAATTTCGTTATTATGGTATCACCGGTCATACGAAGCGTAATCCTTTTATGATTCTATATGATCAAATATACAATCTCGAGAGACATGCTTGTCGACGCGCTTATATTTCTCCCATTTAATATTACTTTTTATATTATTATGACATTATTCCGAGTGAAAAAAAGAAAAAAATTATGTACAATGAAATAAAAGCTTTAGGAAGACGCGCGTGTATGACCAGCGTGACTCACTTTTCACTTTTCTCCTTCTGCAGTAATTCTCTCATTCTAGTGTTGCACACGCAATATTTCTTACTGTCTCGGATAAAAAAAAGGATTACTTCTGATATCACTATTCATTATTTTGGTTTGGTTCGGTCTATACGTTGAAGATGCTCACTTTTCTTTCAAGAAACTGATGTAGAGAAATAATATCCCGGTAAATCCGATAATAAACTTTCCAAGGTACCAAGTGAGATTGGTCGTGCAATTCGGCATTGCGAGTATTATACACCCAGTTCGTAATCCGAATCTCAACACCTTAATTTGCTTGATATAATTCGTTCAATATCTAAGTAATATTGTTATTTCTTTTATTTTCTCACAATTTAAAATCCACGAAACGTGATATTACAAATATATAAAACAAATGATAAATTCGCCTTTCAACGCATCAAAAATGACAAAAATTTTAGACATTTGTTGTTTAGTTCATTATTTGTTATTCTAAATTGTTATTCGTAAATTGATGATATTGCATTTGCATATTATTTTTCATCTTTTCAATTTTTTAATCGACAATGAGAAACGGGCAGAGCTTTATGTATAAAATTAATTCATATAATTAACGCAATCTTAACCCTTTTATCCCCTCGTCATTTTTTGTGACCTCCCAGATCGTTTGCGTGTTTTATGTTTCTATTAAAATCCCTGGTGGAAATTTCGTTGAAATTATTTCACATTTTTAAACACTTTTCAGCAAAATTTCAGCATTTCAGAAAAATTTCTATTTAATTTCAGCGATTTTTAGCTAAAAAATTAATTTTCAACAAAATTTCAGAGAAATTTCAACAAAAATTTCAGAGAAATTTCAGTTTAATTTTAACGATTTTTTAGTATGTTAACTGAAAAGTTCATTTTTAGTGAAATTTTAGCAAATTTTTAACAATTTCGCTGAAATATTCCAAAACGTGGAATTAATTTCAGCAACATTTTTTTTAGCAGGGATTACATCGTAACCTTAAAACAAGATATACGGTTTTCAACTACAATTTTACTTAGTGAAAGTTTCAACCTTTTAGTATACGATTAAAAAGTGAAATGGCATTTAGTGAAACCATCATGTAAGTTTGGCACACACTTTACCGGCGTACGCAACGCGTAGAGTAATCTTACACTGAGAAAAAGTTTTGTTGATATGTGACCAACAAAAAACTTTTCGTTGTCCTAACCAAAATTTGGTTATGCTAATCAAATTTTTGTTAGGATAACATAAAGTTTTTTATAAAGTTTTTGTTAGAATATGTGACTAACAAAAACTTTTATGTTATCCTAACAAAAATTTGATTAGCATAACCAAATTTTGGTTAGGACAACGAAAAACTTTTTGTTGGTCACATATCAACAAAACTTTTTTCTGAGTGTACGAAGGAGAATAAGGGTTAAAATTATGTGTTGAAATAATGAAAAAATTTTGCTTGATTTCTCTATTAAAAGCAAAAATTATGCTATTTTCGATCGATTATTTTGTGTATTCCTTTCTTATAAGAAACATACTAAAGAATAAACGTAAAATAATTTATCGTTTCAACAATTCCTTTATGTTTCTTGAGGGCGACTAAGGTATGGAAAAAGATGTTGAATGACCTGTCAACATATTTGCTGTCTTGACGACATCCTTAGGCAGAACTGCCCATGATAGAAAGAGAAAAGAAAAAACATCCAAATGACACCCCTTCGTTCCACGCTCATTAGAATGAATTCTTTGGTGCGTGTCACGCCTGCCTCGTACTACTGTCTACTCTGTGTGTGTGTGTGTGTGTGTGTGTGTGTGTGTGTGTGTGTGTGTGTGTGTGTGTGTGTGTGTGTGTGTGTGTGTGTGTGTGTGTGTGTGTGTGTGTGTGTTGCGTGCACGCGCATGACACATGTAAATTTAAATTTGTCTAACCACATAATTTTAAAAGAATAAAATATCCCGTGAAAAAGATGTATTACATAGATAGATTTTCATCACTCAACTTATGTAGTAAAATATTATGAACACACAGAACATTACAAATATATAATTAAAAGTATCAATTATACATCGTTTAATTGATTGAGTAAAGGATAATTAATTAAATAAATAGCGAGAACGATGTAGACTTTCAAGACACACACGTTATAATGTGCACCTGGAGAATCGAAGAATTAATTTTCAAAACTATGCTCAGCTTGAAAACTTTGCAAATATATAAGCACTGTTTAATTCCTTCCAATAAAAAAATAAACATATAAATATCTCCTTGGAAAAAGCGTAAACGAAACTTCTAGAAGGCGAAAATTGGAACAATAAAATGTAAAAGAAGCATTTACACTTTTTTTACATTTTGATGTTTCAATTTTCGTCTCCTAGAAGTTTCATTTACGCTTCTGTTACTTTCCCATTTCATTCAACTTACGCTCTGATTTTTATTTTCATCGGAATTAGTAAAATGTTTATGTACGATATATATATATATATATATATATATATATATATGTATATATGTATATACGTATATAAAATATTAGCAACAACAATTAGCAATCATACTCGACCAATATATATATAATACGATTCCTTTCGTTGCTTTGTTCACGAATCGTATTATGCACCGCAAAAATAGAAGACAGACAATCTCTCTCCACTAACAACACATTGTACGCCAGCAGCTGCAACCATATGGCATTCTTTCTGTGATCTTGCTCTAAGAGCTCGTTAATACGATCCTCTCGGATGTTGCCAACACACAGTTAATATTAGTTTCGAGTATGTTTTCTCAATATATGAGTGACACCGCGAACTTCCATCACGGTCTCTTCCTCAATAATCACCTGGTTAACATACTGCATACTCAATGTTATTTCTAAAAGGATGTTACATCGGCCTGTGCGCTACCGGTTAATTTTAATGGCATCATCCTCTTCGATCTTTTCTTCAAATATGAAACAAATGTTAATTTAAAAATTATTTATCGTATTAATAAGAATTGATAGCATTAGAAAAAAATATAAGAATGAAATGTGGATATATAGAATCATATATATAGAAAAGTGCACACTCGCCAATAGCAATTTAAAAATATGTCCCTCCTAGAAAAGAGATATTCTCAAGAACGAGATTATTTTTCCAAGCAACTGTGAACGATAACAATTGAATTGAAATTAACTAATGAACAGGCTATTAACTGAAAACTAATTAACTCTTATATTCCATTGATCTATTGTACAATAATTATAATTAATAGATACAAAAAAGATACAAAAAATCCAAAAAAATGGCCGAAATTGGGTCTAGATATACATACGCCAATACCTAAAAAATTCCACAGTATTTCTTCAAATGCACAATATAAAAAAGTCAAATAACACTGTGGAGAATTAGTTATTTAGATGTCGGCTCAGGACCAATTTTTTTAGTAGATAGTATATAATATTGTACACATGTCAATCTTCGGATCTAACAAGATATACAATATATACAATATAACACATATATACAACATATATATATATATATATTACATATATATAACACATATACAATATATGTGTATGTATATATATATATATATATATATCTCGATACGTTTCCATCTTACAAACTATAATCAAAGAAGTTAATGAAGAATCCGTTAATGAAGAATTTTTCTTTCATAGAGCTATCCACAACAAGAAAACAAAGAAAAACATAGTGATCCATTGGTTCGCAGTCGACAAAAGCGGCGGAGTTTACTGAGCTTTCGAGCCAATGGGAATACGTCGGCTTGCTAAAAATACATTTTGAATCACAGTAGGAGGAGATGAAACGACACCTCCTTCGCGAAAGGCGAGAAATATTCTTATAAGTACGTATCTCTATCCGAGCAAGACGAGTAACTCAGCTAAGGGAACAATTCGGTCAACGCCGCGTATTTAAGAATCGAACGAATATAATGAATAAGCAAGCTTGACAAAAATATCGGAAAAGAACACTTTTAGGCAAGTTTTATCAATGCAATAAAAGTTCAAAAAAGTAACTTTTCGCACATGTCAAAAATATACATGTAATGTGTGCAAATTCTTCTTGTGTTACTTAACTGAAAATCGAAACGACCGGTAATGCGCATAACGAGAACCGAGAACATTTCTATGTATAAAATATTTCAAATACACGAAAAGAATTTTTTAATCCAATTGTGAGCGAATTTGCGGGACTTGTTAAATGTGTCAATGATCATGTTACGCGATGTATACTGTGGAATTGCAAACACTGTGGAACAAATGTGTTTAATGTCGCTTGCATATTAAATAATCTGAAAGTATTAATTTATCGTACTTGAACAACTTGAAATTTGACCCAAACTAACATATTCCATCCATTAAATATAATTCCGTTAATTATACGTGTTATTTTCTCTCTCTCTCTCTCTCTCTCTCTCTCTCTCTCTCCTTCCCTCAAGATAATATCAAAATCAGAATGAAAACTAGCGGAGGCACTTCGAGTCGTTTGAGTACAAACGCAAATGTGGAGCAACGTTTAAGAAGTCCGAAGTGTGCGAGATGTCGAAATCACGGTGTAATATCCGGCTTGAAAGGTCACAAGAGATCCTGTGCATGGAAAGATTGCCGATGTCCTTGTTGTCTTCTAGTCGTCGAAAGGCAGCGAGTGATGGCAGCGCAAGTTGCTCTACGTAGACAACAACAAGCGCAAGGCGACAATCTTTTGTCTCCAGTAAATAAAATATCAGCGGACACTGTAAGTCCTTATTACACTAAAGCAAAATACAACGAACCTGTCTGCGGTAGAAGAACCAAGAATTTTCAAAGACATCATTTACATTTCACGCAGACGAGTATCAGCGTGACGCAGGACTTTTATGGATTAAATACCGTACATGATTTATCTGGCGCATGTGAGTATATCTAAAATCCTGTAAACCCTTTCAAGTTTTACCGTGAGAAGAAATTGTTCGGAAATATATAAATACATCGTAAATATGTCAATAATGTATACATTGATTTGATGTTTAATAATATTCCAAATATGCTACTCTACCCTTTGGACATTGTAAATTATTACAACAAAATAAAAATAAACTCTCGAGATTTAACAACAAATTAAAATATCACATTTGACATGTTTTTTATTAGCAAAAGTTTAGACAGCGAATTATGAAGAAATATAATGCATATTATAAATAATATAAGGAATTGGAAAATATTTTAATCTATTGGCACTGGATATCTACATATGTCCAATTTTATTTTTCATTTTTTTCCTATCTTTTCAAGCGTATTCTTGCAATATAGTGTTTTTGAGAATGCACAAAGTTATATCAAACGTTTACTTACGAAAGAACTCTTACACATTTCAGTATCAGCCCATCCTGCACGTTTGCTGAACAATTTATCTTCTCTAAAATGCGATCAAAAACAAGAAGCTGAACCCATACTGAAGATAGAGTCTTTCCATTCTGCATATCCGACAATGGTTCCGTGGTTCAATGAGGTAACGCAATCATACATAGCGAATGAAGAGTTGAATAATTTTATTTCTACGAGAGATTTGCGAAGCTGTCCTACTACAATCAATAAATCTTGTTTAGAAAAAAAAGCACCAATTTCCTTCAGCGTGGAATCTATTATCGGTACGAAATAATCTATTATCTGTACTTTAATTGTTTGAGTACCAGCGAACTATTACCTATTCAGATTCCGATCTAGCAATTTGAGAATTGCCAACGATACTATAACCGCATTAGCGATTTGTCATACATTAGTAGTAGTCGTTCATGCACTTAATATCGAATGGTCAATAAATATCGTACTTATTTTCGAGTAATATATTCCAGCAGGATACATAATACATAGCAATGTTAATTTTTTTAAATAAGAAACGGAGTGAGATATCTTGCTTGTATTTGTTAATTGGTACTTGAACGATTAATCCCACCACGGTGAAATGAATAATCTTACAAATAGTACTAACAATTAGTACGTATAAGTAAAAGAAAAAACGACATTTTCACAAACATTGTGCAAATTATTTAACAGCAGTCGTATGTCAATCAGCACTTTAGTATATCGTATAATAAAGTGTATCTTACTTCCTCGTTGACTATGTGTGTGTGTGTGTGTGTGTGTGTGTGTGTGTGTGTGTGTGTGTGTGTGTGTGTGTGTGTGTGTATTCAAGAAGAGAAAAATATTAACAATACTTATGTACAATTTATTATTTTATACCTGAATATATGTATGTATGTATGTATGTATGTATGTATGTATGTATGTATGTATGTATGTATGTATGTATGTATGTATGTATGTATGTATGTATGTATGTATGTATGTACGTATCACAATTCTAACAAACGTATTGAATATATTTATAGCAATAACAATATAAAATCGTTTCTGTTGTATATATGCACGTACGTTCCAATATTAACATAGCAAAGCCAAACATTACTATTCTTACACTATTCTCTGCGATATAATGTAATCAAATGAAAAATCACATACGCTATGCAATATAGCGATATATATATATATATATATATATCCACATATATATAACTCTTTAAGGCACGGATATTATACAATACTATTTATCGCTTTCGAGCATTTTACTGCAACGTTTCATATATACATCTATTTCAGAGAAATCAGATAAAGTATTAGAAACGATCTCATACAGAACACATGGCCATTGCTTTTCTAGGATTTGTAACTTGCGTATAGCATTTATAGTGAGATTGATTAAATTTAGCAAATGCACTTTCCCTTTGTGTCTCCAGATAAGATCTTCCTATAAACAATTACAATGTATATTGCAATAATATTATCGTTTATACATTTTAGCTAGTGTACAATTAAGCATAAGACATGATCTTGTTATAAAAAATAGTTAACGTTTGTTTTTATTTTCATTACCTGCGTTACATTTCCCTTTCTCCACTGTAACGCCTCCTTGGCAACAACACTTCGAAGTGCCGGGTCACAGTTGAACAGAAATTGTTTGGCAGTAATTTGTTCCCCGCTTTGTTTTTGCACTTTTTCTAAATGAAGTCTTTGTAACAAAGGTTGTAATAAAGAATCTGGCAGTGAACACATTACTATATCTATAAGACCGATATATTCTTGATTTGCAAGTTCCACATCTTCAGCTGTAATCTAGAAAAATATTGAACTTTTAATTCTCAGTAAAAGATAAAGAATTGATCC